CCCCAAAACCCCAAAACCCCAAAACCCCAAAACCCCAAGATCCAAGAACAATATTGAAAATATATGAACAGGTATTGACAAGCTAAGGAAATTTGAAGACAAATGGTGGTACAGGGCTAAGGATAATTTAGTTCTCAAGATAAGTTATTTTATGAAGCTTTTTGAGAGTCTTTCCTTCACAAAGATGGTCGCAGGTTTTACGTAGACCATCTAGGGTTTTACCTCTGAAATTTTCTAACAGTTTTGGGTAATCCAGGTTTTTATAGCCGGATTTTCTTAAGAGCCTCTTTAGCAGCTTGATCTCTCGGATTGAAAAATTGTCGTTGGTGTTATTGATTAGTCTGTTGGTCAAGAATTCACATGATTTATCAGTTCTTAGAGCTTTCCTGATTACGTCAATGATTGAATTCGAGAGACTTCAAGTCTCCTTCTGTAACTTCTTTAGTTCTTGATAACTGATGAGACCTTTTTGTTCAAATTTTCTGAATTCATTAAAGAGCTTTATATCTTGCTTCTTTCCCCATCTTTTATTCTTCTGTACACTCTCTTTACACTCCATTCGATCTACAGAATGTTCTTCTAAATTTTTCTCAACATCTCAATATTCTGAAAATGGATGATCACTTCAATTACTTCTCAGATATTCAAAACTAAGTGACGGAGTTAATTCCTGAGTTTTATTATTGTAAAATTCTTGTTTAATAAGCATATCCTGAACATTTGAATTCTTTTCTATTAAATAATCATTAAGCAAGTCTTCTTTAGGAAGTCTGAAGACGTCTTCATCATTAGTACTAGTATCGAAGATTCCTAAGAAACTGTTCATAATCGGAAGATCTTTAGAAGCATCTAGAGTCTCTTCTCTAAGATGAGGCCTGCTAGAAAGCTCGGATTTGGAAGACTTTTTTGACAACCAAGAGTCTTTGATAGAATAATCATTGTTATCAAGCCATATTCCTTCAAATTCATGATTCTTCGTTTTCATTATAATGTCCTTAAATTCTTTTAATTATTATTAAAGGTTGCCAAAATTTCCTCTATCCCAAAATCCAATAACATCCCATTTCCCCCAAACCCCCTCTAATCCCCTAAAACCCCAAAACCCCAAAACCCCAAAACCCCAATTTATTACAAAATAATTGACTGCTAAGGCAACTTATAAAGATTTACATGTCTTCAAATTCTTCAAGAAGGGATTCAACCAGCTCTTGCTCATCTTGAATCTCATCATCATCGTCAAGATTGAAGTCGATCTTTTCTTGTTCCTTTTTAGGGAATTCAAGTGCTTTGACAGAGTCATTATAGATCTCCATTCAGAACCTGATTCTCTTATCAAGTTGGGCTGTGGGGACATTACTTGTGTAGACATCAGCCACTTCGTTAGTCTTTAGCTCCTTTTCTTCTCTATTGATAACAGCATTGATGACCTTATCCCTAATAGCTTTGGTAACGATACTCTCAGTCTCTTTGACGGAATCAAGACCAAGCTTGGTAGTAATATCTGAGAGAGAGATTCTTGAGTAACTAGCATTGATCTTTCTGAGTCCAAATTTTATGACATTGTGTCTCAGCCTGATCAAGAGATTATAATTATCGTTCCTCTTGAAGATCTCTTCGTGCTCATTAACAACCTTCATGAACTCTTCAATGTTACCCTCTCTGACTCTTTGGACAATTATGAAGTAAGGGTACAGATCGGATTTCATCTCTTGGTCAGAGAAGAGGTTCCTGTCTGGAATCTCACCCATGAGTAGTGTTACAATGATGCGAAGCTTCATTGCTTGAACTCTGAAAGCCTTTCCAGTGAATTCAGAAGCCTTTCTGATAGCCTGGATTACATGAGCCTGAGCTTCTGGGTACTTCATCTGTACAGCTTGAATTTTAGCCTCATAATATAAGTTTCTTGCTTGCTGGTTTGGAGATACGTTCTCTGGCAAAGTACAGATTTCAATGAAATTCGCAGCCTGAGTGTATAGATGGTCATTGATATATGATCTTAATATGTAATTAATCAAAGTTGCCTGAGTCTGTTCATCATTTCTATGACAAGCCGCTCTATATGCTTCTAAGAAATGAGGCACAAAATCGTTTAACTCTCCAAGTTTCTCATAAATGAAACCTGAATAATAGTAAATTTTTGAGAAGAAGTGGTCAAGAGTTCTAGAGTTTTCAAGGTCTATCTGTGCTCGAGCAAAGTCAACAAATTCTTTAGCCATTTTGATCTTTCTTTCATCAATAAGCTTCATAATGAGAAGAATATATAAGAAACATTTCGCCTCGAATGTATCGACCAGAATGGCTGCACGCTCTTTATTGAGGTGTAACTTCTCTTCAATGTCAAATTTCACAATATCAGGATCATACTTAGGGAGATTTATCTTAGCAGAGAGTTCTGGGAGATAATGGTCAAATATCAATCCGACATCTTTGAGGGAGAATTCAGCTCTGATTCTTTTGAAATTTCTAGCAACGACTCCGCATGCTTTGGTATCCTTCTCTTCGACAGCTTTATCAAGAAGAATGAGCTGTTTTCTAATCTCTATAGAGGAATAATCAATATTTGCTCATAAAATTGAGATTTATGTGGTTATACGAGGAATATAATATCTTATTGATTGCTATAAATAGTCTGTACCTAGGTAGGGGTCAAACTTCTCTTCCTTGACTTCTTCCTCCTTCTTATCCCCCATGGTGACATCTTTGTCCTTAGTCTCCTTCTTTTTGTCCATTTTGAAAATTATTACTTAAAATCTGTAAAATTATGTTAAATTCAACCAAAATCTTAAAAAAGGGGTTTTGGGGTTTTGGGGTTTTGGGGTTTTGGGGTTTTGGGG